GTTTTCATAATAAGTATTCAATTTTAATTGTAGATTTAATGAAAATGCAGATTTTTAGTAATATAAGTATAATTTTTCATAAAAAATTTTTGTTTGAATCATTCTTATTAAAGATGTAAGAAAATATATATTTTGGTAACTGTTTATTGACTTTTTAAAATATTTATATATTCTTAATAATAAATGTATTTTTTATACTTGCATCATTTCTTATATTAATAGAAAATTTGATTTTCATTAATTGTTATATTAAAGATTAGATCAACAAATTAAATGAAGAATATTCTATAAGATTTCAATGATATTTATATTAAAATATGCTTAGATATTACAAAAATATGTATTGTGTGATCATCTTGTATTTATTACCATTTTAATAGTGTAATCTTTTAAATAGAGTCTTATCGCCTTTCTTAGAAATTATCCAATATTTACATTGCGTTTGTTTAATGTAAATTAAACACAAAAGTTAGGAAATAGATCTAAAAAATTAATAAACGATGATAATCATATAATATAATGAAGAATTTTTCATAAATATCTTTACCAATCCCTATGTATATATTATTACATTTGAGTGTTACCGGGTGATTCTTAAATTTTCTTACTAGGAAATTTTAATTTTACTCCTCCTTCGGGGAAACTATAAAAATTCAAAAACTTAATATTTTCGTTTCTTTGTGAAGATTTGTTTAGCAATTCACAAGCTTGTTATTCATTTTTGTATTGTCTGATGATATTTGTATTTTGTGGATCATACTTTTATAGAAGGCTTCGCATCTGGAAGAATAATAATTCATAATTCAAGAAAAAAAAGAAACAAAAAACAAAATAATAGAAAGATAAAGCATTTATTAATAAATGAAATATCAATAAAATTTTGGTAGCTTAATGAATGATTTTATTATTAATATTAGCTATTACAAATAACAATAAGAGATAAAAATTATGAAAGCAAATATCGCCTAATTATTATTTAATAATTTATTTGTCTTCGATCATTTATAATAAATTAATTCTATTTTGCTAAAGTTTAAAAGTTTTTAAATAATAATGATATTGGAAGATATATTTTAAAATTTTTTATAAATTTAAAAAAAGGAATTTTTTAGATTATTTACGAAAAATTCAAAAGAAAAATAAGTAAATTTTGTATAGGCATATTCTATTTGTATAAATTATTTGTACTAATAATATCAGAACTTGATATACTATTATTGCTTTTTTTTAATTTTCAAAATAGTGTCCGTAGTTAGGATTTTTATTATTAAATTTTTAATTGTAACAAAACATTTTACAATTTATAATATTTTATAAAAAAAACATTTTATAATATTTTAATAGATTTTTTATATTCTTTATAATATATATAATGGATATAAAATAAAAGAGGAATTATTTTAAAATATTCTTTTTTAAAAAGTTTGTTGAAATAAAAAAAAAATCGTCTTACACAGTTTCAAGTATATGTTTAAAAAAAGTCCCTTTTCTGTAATATATATCCACTACATTTTAATACCTAAATTGAATTTTAGCATTTTTTTAAAATTCAAATATAATTATAGTCGGGCTGGATAAGAACTATTTGAAAAATTCATTTGATTTGAAGGTATTGTAACTATTTACAAATCATTTAAAATTTTTATATTTATAATTTTCTATTATTTGTTTTACTCTTGTTGCATCGAAAGTTTATTAACAAAAATATATTATTCTATAAATTATCTATAACAAATGTGTATATATATTATTTCATTTCAATAACAAGTTTACATATGGCATGTATATACGCGTGTGTGGGAGTATAAATGATTTATAAAGTAGCATATAGAATATTCTAAATAAAAAATTTAGAAATCTTCATTTTAAGATACATATTCCATTCACGAAAGTAGATATATTTGGTTTTAATATACTACTGCATTATGATTCTACTTGTAATAATTACCTACAAGACCCAATACGTAGATGTTGTTCTGTAATGATCATATTTGTATCATTCTGTATTCGTCATATATATATAACATATATACCATATATAACACAAGTTGTGTTAAAAAAATATCACTTTAATAGCTGAATCTTCATATTGTTTCAAAAGCATTACAAACTATTTGTTTATTTCATTGCATATTTAAAAAAGTATTGTTTTAAAAAAAAAACAAGTTCGAAACAGAAAAAATAATTACTGTTGTAGATATAAATAATTAAAAATAAAATTTTCAATATCTGCGGTTTTTTTTTAAATTAAAATGATTAAATAATAAAGTCATTAAAGTTTGAAAAATTAAAAACATAACTATATTTTCAAAAATTATTACTATTTAAAGCGATTAAATGAAATATATAGTAATATATATAGTAATATAGTACAATTTGTTTGTAATTTTTCTTACATCATGTAGAAAATAAATTAAATGAATAAGTTAAAATTTTCCGTTCAGCTGCGGGTAACTAATATTTGTACCATTTATGTCCAGTCAAAAGGCATTATTCATTGGGAAGTATGCCTAAACAATATTTGTTACTCCTACACCGTAATTGGAACGAAAAACATTAATGAAAGTGAAATGGGATATCCTACAAGAAAGTTTTGCGTCTACAAGAATGTTTAATGTCTTTTTTATTTATGAATTATAAAAGACTGTATTTCATATTTATTAATAACGTAAACAAACGTGAACTACAGATCATTAATAAAATATAAATGATATTTATAATAGCAATGATCAAGCTCTATTATAAATATTATTGTTAATTTATATATATTACTGTTTTCTATTAATATAAATTTTACTATGCAGCTTACTTATACATATATAAAGCCAAACTTTTAAGTAATACTAAAGGAAATATTTTGCGTATAGTTAAAATTAAGTAAAATTTAGATGAAAATTATAAAGTAGAAAGATTGTACATTAATTATTTCTTATATATTTTTTTTATTTTTCAGACTTTATATTTATTATTTACACATTTATGTATTTATTAGAACTTATAATTATAGTTATTAAAATATCTGTAAATAATTTTTACATATAGATTATTTAAAAAAATGTAGATTCTAATATTTAGATTTGTTTTCTCTTTAAAAATTATATTGATTTTTTAAGGATATTATTGATTTATTGCAATAAAATGTTTAATTTTACAAAATTGACTTGAACGTATTAATAACTTATTTTGAAGTTTGCAGATCTTTGGTTTCTTGCTTGATTTTTTTTCATAATTGATTCACTAATATATGGATAATTTCGATGTTGTTACTTATTTATTTAATATATTCTTGGAACTTTATCTTGTTCAAATTTAAAAGTCAATATTATAAAACTTGATACAAGCTAAACTAAATGTGTAAATTTGCGCGGCTAAACTTTTTTGAATTCGTGGAAAATAATGTTTGGAGCTGGCCACACATTACACGTAGTAGTAATCAACGTAATGAATGTGATTAATTATATATTATAATATATTGCTGTTGAATATTCTTATATTTAACTATTAAAGAGAAATCATAAGCAAAGTATATAAATATTCTCATTTTGTATTATAATGTTGGTGATATTTTTTTCAATTTACTCTCAAGAATAAAAATGTTTTCACATGGCATGTGCGATTCAAGTTTTACATTTATAAATGAATGTGTATAGGCAATTTAAAGATTGATGAAATTGATTAGATATAAGCATATCTTTAACCGATGATAAGCGATATAGGGTTGATTCAGTTATTTTATGCGTTGATTGAAAAGTATTGTTTAGCGACGATAAATACAGAACATATTAATTAGAAGCATCCTATTGCTAATTATATTCTGTATGATTTTCAAATACTTATGTCTATGATTTGACCTACATTTTCATACTATAACATTGAAAAGCATACTTTTTAACAAATATAACTTGCATTTTTTTTTCGTACTAAATTATTTTCTTTACATCTACTTGATAAATTAATAAATTCTTAATTCATATATGAGTTTGTCTATTAATTATTCTTTTTATAATGAACTCGTTTAAGTCATATACCCATATATTTTTGTTATTATTATCTTAGATTTAAGATTAAGATTCTAAGTTATATTATTAAATTACATCATTGTTGCATTTTTATTAGGAAATTGACGTTTATTTTTACTGATTTAAAATAATAGAGCGCTTTTTTTTAATTCAACTGCAACCAGTTGCTTATAATATACACTACCTGCATGCTTTCAGAATTTATCTTATTTGTAGTACATTAATTTTACATCAATGTCGATAATTTTGCAATTTAATCAATAAAAAATAGAATAGTAAAGCGACCGAAAATTCTAGTTTTCACCAATATTCCAATCTCGTAATAATAATGAATATTAATATTAATGATATCTTTAGCGGTATTTCTTTTATCTCTTACTTTACTGTTTTAAACAAATTGCCATTAAACAATGCTGCACAATGATAATTTATACTATCAAGGTACGTTCTTTTATTAAATAAATCAGAATATTTTAGAAAATTGTATAATAGTGTAATTTAAAAAAAAATTAATCTTGTAATTAGTAAATCTTACGCTGTGTGTCGATTTCTAACAGAAAATGAGTGAAAGTATTTACATTTATTAATAAAATTTAATAAATTAAGTGTGAATGATCAAGACTACGTAATATTAGTACCTGAAACATTAAAAAAATCTAGCCCATTATTAGTAAACTATAAAATATAATATATGAAGGCACAGAAAATATAACGACTTAAAGTATCGTTTAAAATTAAAAGACAGTTTTCAACAGTCTAACGATTTTGTAAATTAAGTACTAAAATAGTTTATTTATTTGTTTCAAAATTATGTTAATTGATAAAACAAAAAGACAGACGCTGCATAAAAATATTGAATAATATTTATTTTGCGTTACAACCAATACCTACTACACACAACTACGTAATAACTAATACATTATCTCATATAATATCGCACATTAATGAAATGATAGTAATCCGATAGCCTTATAGCACTTATAGATATTTTTGATTAAATATATCGAACTTCAAATAAATTTTCAAATAACCACGTCTTAAATTCTTGATGTTATATATGACTTTATAATAATTAAATAATTGCTTTGACGCCGCTTTAGGGAATGTGTGACATGTTCATCCAAACACAGCAGACGAGCAGCGTCAACAGCAGCACCAGCAGCAGCAGTAGCAGCAGCGGCAACAATACCGCACACCACCACAGCAAAAAGCGCAAGTTGGAATACGACATCGGCCATTCGGTCATCCAGCACGCCTTGGTCCAATCGACAAGCGATTACCAATTGGATAATCCTGCCCTGCAGCGATACTCTGTTAACAGTAACAATACCGCGTTCAGCACGCTACAGAATAATGGACTACAAAAGCAGAGTCCAAATCAGCAGACTTTGGTGCGAGCCTCCACGATCAAATTATTAGACACGTATCAGCGCTGCGGGCAAAAGGTGGGTGCAATTGTTCGACTCCTTATTATTAAACTGTACAGTTTCGTATATTGAATGAATTTTTTATCGAAAAAAAATGAGATGTTCCGTAAGAATTGCTAATTTTAGCAATTCTTTTTAATTGCTGTGCTAATGGGGATGAATTAATAGACGACAGATTTTCTACAAGAAATACGACGATGTATGTCAATATACAAAATTCTTTTATTTATTTTAAGAGTATTCAAATTTTATACACGAATTACTTGTGAATTAAATGTGATAAAATTAGGTAAAATTTTTGCGCTTCATTATAAAATTTAATAGAGTAAATAAGTAGAATAGTGTGGGTTTTTTACATTAATCATGAGTACATGTGTAAATAATTAAAAATCGATTTTATGATTAGTCAATTATATATTAAACTTCACTTTAATTTATTAAAAAAAAAAAAAAATCACGATCGTGCAGAAAATAATTTTTAAAAATAAAACCAAAAAAGGAGAGTATTTTATTTTAACTAAACGCATTTGCGTACCATCAAAATATATTTTTGAAAACTGTGCATACCTTAATTTCAGTTTATTCTATATAATAATGTTTTTAATAAGACTTTGAGTTTATGCTTTAAATATTTGCTTTTAAAATACTTAAGATTTCGGGTACTTATAATAAATTTCATTTGCAATTAAATTTTTTTAAGACGTTTCAATATTTAAATATTGACAGTAATATTGCATATAAAGTGCAAATAAATTATTTTCACGTACTTGTTTGTTTACACTCAAATGAGAGTTTTTAAATATAACATTTTTGTAAAGATCGTAAAGAATTCATTGTTTGTTGCACAATAATACCGAAACTTTATTTATCTCGAGTAAATCTGTATATTAATTTATTTTATTTATCGATGCCATTATTCAAGTTCATTATGTGGATCCATAATATTCTTCAGTACTGACTATCTTATATATTATGCCAAACCTTAATTTTTTTAATTGTTTTTAATTAGAACACGATAATTCTTATAAATGGATAGTTTCAATTTTAATTATACGATATTTTTCACACTTTAGCCCTATCATTTAAACTTAATTTGACCATCATACCTGTTGATTATTTTTGTTTTTCAATTACGCATTAGATTAGAACTTTAAAGATTTTTTAATGAATTTCTCTTTCAATGCATGCGCACGCAAAATAATCACCACTGCCATAATAGTCATTCATAAGATTAAGAACCGACTAAAATTTCTAGTGTCATTAGCTTTTAAAGCTGATGTTATTTTTACTACCCTATAATAATATTTAAAATAGATGCCTTTCAATATGAAATTGGTTTTTGTATTATTTACTGTACAAATGCGAAATCCTTTTTAGCAAAAGTTTTAAAAATATCTCGTAATATTTAAAAAATTAGTTAATGTTTTAAAATTACTCGTGACTTTTATTTTACATCTATTGATGATCATATTCTTTTTGATATCACTTCGCACTAGAAATAAAAATAAAATCATTATTAACAATTAACAATTAACAATTCAGTTCCAATGTCAGCTCCTTTTCTTTTAATTCATACAGTACTTAATTAAATTATTGCTTATAAAACTGATTTCGTGGTTTCAGAGACCATTATAATATAATTTCTATACGTTTGAATAATCAATTTATGTGTTTAATAAAATCATATTCTTTGAGCAGCACCATTAATTTATATTTCATTTATGCAAGCACAGTTAGAGTATTTATTAATTCAAATAGTATATTCGAATAGTCGTAGTAACTTCCCAACGTTACTGAAAACAAATGGTACGGGATATCTGTTTTTCTTTATAATTTGGTGGTAAATAGTCCACATATTCATTATTCTTTTATGAACTAAGATCTGCAAAGAACAAGTTTTGATTATTTGTTAGTTCTTTCATTATACATTTGACCTCTTTATCCCCCCCCCCCTGTTTATGTGTCTTCCAAGGATATGCTCTGTTTTATGTTTTGTGCGCAGAAAGGCTTCAACGCCTAAGTACTCGAATGTTGTTATAATTATATAGTATAATAATAGGTATCAATTCATTATAATCAAATTGGTTTCTCTTAAAAATTACATTCAGACTTCAAAATTTATCATAAGAATTGGCAAGACGTTCAGAGATATGATTTATTACGAATTGACCATTAATCCAACTTATATTTTACTATTAAAAAAGTTGAATTGAAGGTAAGAGTTAAAAAAAAAATTTAGACTTCTGTCAAGGCGTTTCGAATACATCATCAAGTTTGAGAGACATATCAAAGAATTTTGCAAATACGATTTGAGCTTAATCATTTGCGATATGTACGCCTATATAAATATTGAGATGGTCTTTTTCAGGCGCACATATCCTTTCGATCTGTTAAATATCACTAATTAAGCAATGTAGATCTTTCAGACAAATGCAAATACCGTCACAATTATATTTCAGTAAAAACTATTAAGAACATAAAAAATAGATTTTTCATTATGTCCTGCTCTTTGCATTTTCATATGAAACAATGAACAAAGTTTGGTCTATCCAATCATGATATGACTTATGTTCGGACTTTGGGAATCCATGTTATTTTTAAGATAAATTTACGTTTATTAATTTGCAGTTGATAAATTAATATAACAACTATTTATTAAATAGAACAAAAACGTATTATGAAATGTAACATTTTTTTATTTTTAAACAGTATTATTTGATCAAATAAACATATTGCATTTTCGGCGATAATTTATTACGGTTTCATATTATTTGTTTTATTACATTTAATGAAAAACGAATAACAATAGATAATTTTTATCGAATTCAATGCTTATATGAAGTCACAAGTACTTAATACATATTCGGAATTGAAACAATAATAATAACAGTAATATTATATATTATATATTATATAAATGCTTCTGTCAGAATGATTTGAGCAAATAACATATTTATTCTTTTTGTTAATTAAGATGAAAATTATAAAATAATTTTCCTTAATATAAAAGATGATTTATTCTTATTAAGTACAGATCTCATTTCAAAAGTCCTAATCATATTCTAATCATATTAAATACATATTTATGGATTTTTTGATATTGATATAATCATAAATTTTAGAAAATTTTGTTAAACAACGATACTTTATATCATTTAGTAGTAAATGGTGCTAAAGCATTAACAATATCTCTAATATTTTTTGATCCTCTAAGTGAACATAATTTACTAATACATTTCCTAGTATAATAAATAGCTATCATAATAAAGGTGTCATCAAATTTTTTCACACGAAGATAATTAACAACCCAGTCTTCAAGTATTTTATAATACATTACATCATTCAAAGTTTTTAAAAGATTATAAAAGGTTTGGATTCACATCTTGTTAAAATATTATTTATCAATGTGCTCTGAACAATTAAATTGCATTAACTTGATTTACATTTTTAGACAACTGTGTATAGATAATTTGGAAATTGATGAAGTTGATTAGATTATAAGGATATGTTTAACCGATGATAAGCGATATAGGGTTGATTGAGTTATTTTATGCGTTGATTACAAAGTATTGTTTAGCGACGATAAACACAGAACATATTAATTAGAAGCATCCTATTGCTAATTATATTCTATTTGATTTTCAAATACTTATATATTAATGATTTGATGTATATTAATTATAGAGGTTAACGTGCACACGCTGTGATCGCTTTAATATAGGAAGAACAATAAAGTATCATAAGATCATAATATTTAAATGTACAGAACCTAATACGTTGTCATATAATAAATGTATTGAAAAAAGATAAATAAGTTTTATTATTGCAATCAACTTATTATTGTTGATACTCGATTTTAACATTTCCTATTGAATTCAGAGGAAATCGTGGTCAAGAGAGGGTGAGAGCTTGGCAATTCATTCCATTAACGCGAACAACATAACTACAGCCACAGCAGCGAGCACGACGACTTTAAATTCGCAACATCACAATCAGCAGCATCAACAGCAGCAGCAACTACCGTTGCAGCAACAACCACAACAACAGCAGCAATCGCACAAGCAATCTAACGCAATGACTTCCCACACCAAGCAGGTCAGCAATAACGGTAACGGTGGCGGAGGCTCTAATCCTCAAGGTGACGGAGATTATCAGTTGGTGCAACATGAGGTTCTGTACTCTATGACCAATCAATATGAGGTCCTTGAGTTTCTAGGTCGCGGAACTTTTGGTCAGGTTAGCAAACACATTTTTTCTTTTTTTTTTTTAAATGATATTTTGTATGTATAAATTATTTTCAGTAACCATTTCGTAGATCTTTTTGTAATTTAATTACAATTACAATGCTTTCAGATTGAATAACAATTTATATATTTACTTATGCTTAAATATTTCTAAATATATAGATTAATTTAAAATAAAATATTCAATTTTATTATTATCGTCTGAACGAATAAGCGTCTCTTGAATAAATAGACAGAGAATTTTATCGATGATAAAGTAAGCTCGTTAAATCGCTTTAAGGTGGCGTTAACATACCATTTAGTAAATTTTTATTTTTTTTTATTTTTTTTATTATTATTATTTAGCACGGAAAAGAAAATTTTTCATGAAAATAATTTCAACACAAGCTTCAATACATAACTTTTTCAACTAATTATAACGTAATATAATATAATAGATACAAATTTTATTAAATGATGACGATATGATGTCATAATGATTACTATAATTATTTAGAATTGTATTTAAATTTCTTATATAATATTATTATAAACAAAAATATTAAAGTGAAATATTAATTAAAATTTTTTTTATATAGGTCGTCAAATGTTGGAAAAAAGGAACAAACGAAATAGTGGCTATCAAAATTTTAAAAAATCATCCATCATATGCCCGGCAAGGTCAAATTGAGGCTAGTATCAAATAATATTAATGCATCTATAATATTCATAAAATTAAACGTTTAAAATTAAAGCATTTGTTATTTTAATCATTTTAAAACTAGTATAAAGTATTTTTATTCTTTAGGTCTCCATCCTGTCACGTCTTAGTCAGGAAAATGCGGATGAGTTCAATTTCGTACGTGCCTACGAATGCTTCCAGCATAAGTCACACACCTGCTTAGTATTCGAAATGCTGGAACAAAATCTTTATGATTTTTTAAAACAGAATAAATTTTCACCTTTACCTCTCAAATATATCAGGCCTATTCTTCAACAAGTTTTAACGGCATTGCTTAAATTAAAAGTAAATCTAATTATATTATTTCTACAATGTTTTTTTTTACACTTTTAATATTAAAAATAATTTTGGTAAATGCAATTCTATAATACATTAATGTATATTATTATAATTTTTTAAAGTAACAATTGTGTGAATAGAAACAATACTTGAAATTGCGGGTATTTAATTTTTTTTTTTTTTTGTATCCTGTCTAATGGATGCAGAAGTATTATTAATTTAATGGCTTTTTATTTTATCAACAGCATCATTTTCTTTTAAAAGAAAATACTTACTATTACGTATTTTAACCAAAAATATCAAATAAAATTTTACAATTTATTCATTTATTTTTCAAATTCATAATTTCTAGCAATTGGGTTTAATCCATGCAGACCTTAAACCAGAAAACATCATGCTCGTTGATCCGGTGCGTCAACCTTATAGGGTCAAAGTAATAGATTTTGGATCGGCTTCACACGTCTCAAAAGCAGTGTGTAATACGTATTTACAGTCTCGTTATTATCGTGCTCCTGAAATCATCTTGGGATTGCCATTTTGTGAGGCCATTGATATGTGGTCACTTGGTTGTGTAGTAGCTGAGCTTTTTCTAGGCTGGCCTTTATATCCCGGTAGCTCAGAATATGATCAAATTAGATATATCAGTCAGACCCAAGGATTACCGACTGAACACATGCTCAACAATGCTAGTAAAACCACAAAATTTTTCTACAGGGATATTGACAGTAAGTTGAACATTGAGTTTTCTTTTTCGATGTACTATTTATTTCTAATAATATGACTGATTTGAATGAGAAAATCGAGAGCATATTAGATATAATATCTACAATATGAAATACGTGAATTTACAGTGAAATTTCAATATGCAAAAGTCTCTTACAATAATATTTTATAAAATATGCTAGACAAATAATAATATAATATAATTATAAATAGCAAAACTTTTAATTGTATCAATTGATAAATAATTTTTTGTTACATTAAATTTTTGTATTATTATATTAATGAAATTTAACATATATTTTAATGTATATAGTATTAATATATTTCTTCCAATTAGTTATATATAAAAAGACAAATTCTAGTTACTATACTAATATGCACCACAGAATTAACTCACGTTTTTAATCATGAACGATTAGTTTCAATTTTTATTGCAAACATATTAAAGTAAATTGAATACAAATTTTATTTAAATATGTATTAACTAAAATTGATACAAATTATATTATTTAAGGTACATACCCTTTTTGGCGACTTAAAACACCTGAAGAACATGAAGCGGAAACAAGTATCAAATCTAAAGAAGCGAGAAAGTATATTTTTAATTGTCTCGATGATATTGGTCAAGTGAACGTACCAACAGATTTAGAAGGAGGTCAATTATTGGCTGAAAAAGCTGATAGAAGAGAATTTATAGATCTTCTGAAAAGAATGCTTACCATGGACCAGGTAGTAATATCAATTCACTTTTGAAATAAAAATTTTCTTTTATTATACTGTTGATAATAATTTCAAGCTCTTCATTATTTTCGTTTTAATATGTATTTAATTTAGTTCTTTGGTGTATTCATTAAATCATTAACTTAAAATTGAATTGTTTTACTTTTAGATGTAGACATTAACAATGTTAGAGATGTAGACATTTAACAAGTATTTTTCATTTTCAATATAGTTATATAAATTTAGGAAGTCTGTGGATGCGTGCGTGCGTGCATGTTTGTGTGTATTGAACCATTATATCAGTAATATTTTCGACTACAGGAGAGGAGAATAACACCCGGGGAAGCTCTAAATCACGCATTTGTAACATTGGCACATTTAGTAGACTATGCACATTGCAACAATGTGAAAGCCTCAGTGCAGATGATGGAAGTATGCAGACGTGCAGGTGACTTTACCGCTAGCCCCGCTCATCATCAAGCACCTCCTGCACCTCAACCACCACCTCCAACATCATTAGTTGCTAACTTTGTTCCGACAACAAATGGAAGCGCTGTTACACTTACTTTTAACAATCAGGTGCAAAGACTTGTCCGTGAACATCGCACTGCACAATCGGGATATGATAATTTGGTAAGAAATCATCTGATTATACCTGATATACAAGAGTAGAGTGGAATCAAAGATTTAAAAAGATTCGAACAAAATTTATTAGTAAATAGGAAATTTTATACTAGTGTAAGACTTTTAAAAATTATGTTTATTGAAAAGAAAAATTATTAAAAATTATCTGTTTATTTTATAGTGATTTATGCATAGATTTCTCTCTCTGTGCATGGATTAAATATTATTACTTAGTATATTATTTAATTAATCATTACTTTTTAATTTATTTAGTTTTTTAATTGATTAAAATGATTATTTCAAAATATCTTTTGAAATTTCAGTATCAAATATATAGTAACAGCAGTCGTAGAGCAACTCAGTACAGCAGTTCGTCTAGTGGTTCCAACAGTGGTAGGAGCGGAGTACATGACTTTCCACATCAATTAGTACCAGGAATACTCTGCCCACCACCTGGTTATCAAACGATGCCAAGTCCCGCGAAACACGTTGTTGTTACACAAGTAAGGTTTTCGTTTTTACAGAAAATTGATAATAAAAATACAAAATTGTTAATAAATTTGTTGTGCATAATATATAATCAATTATTTAGCCTACTCAAGCTCAACAGGCTCCTATTCAAATACAGCCTTCCATCATTTCTCAGCAAGCAGTTGCGGCAGCTGCAGCTGCTGCTCAACAACAATATGCCGTACCAGTGTCTATGGTAGAAACTGGTCGCCAAATGCTGTTAACTGTTAGTCATTAATATCGTTAATATATACTTGTTTAAATTTGTCTGAAAATAAAAAAATTATTAATTGTTACGTATTATTGTAAATTTAGAATGCTGTACAAACTTCTTGGCCTGGCGGAAGTAGGCAAATGGCTGCGATTGTCCCTTCTTGGCAACAATTGCCTCCTCAACATGCCGCTATTCAACAACCATTGTTAAGCGACGCTGGAGATTGGGGTAGACCCTTGATCGTCGATAGCACAGCAATTTTACAGGTAAAATATTGTAACTTTGAAATACCACAAACTTTATGAATACTCGGTTAAAGATAGACGGAACAATTAATTTTTATATAAAAGATTTTCGTCAAAAATCTGAATTTGAAGGATTGATAAAGTAATGTATTCGTTGTTGATTACTGGTAGTTAAATTGTATATATAAAATGAAAAATTCGAAGGAAAAAACTGTGTCATTGAAATTTACGTGATTATAATTTTTGTTGTATTTCTAATTACATTCACATTTATTATTATCGTCAATAAAATATAAACTCGCTAAACGAATATAAAACAAAATTACCATGGAAAAATCGATTCCGCCATGAAAATAAATTAAAAGAAATAATTTAGAATAAATTATAATCAAATTATATACGTGTGTCTAATTTCTCTTGGTTTTGGGGAAGGATCAGAGGCCAGTGTTCCCCGTAGCAGAAGTCTATAACACGAGTACATTAGTCGAGCATCCGCCTCCTCAAAATTGGGGTAAACGGAGTGTAAGCAAGCATCACCAGCATCATTTGAGTGTGCCGCAGCCGTCCCAACATCGTAGTCATGAACACAAGAAAGAACAGCAGCAACTAAGTCCAGTAAAGAAACGCGTGAAAGAGAGCACGCCACCAAGCAATCTACGTCGACAGCAACAACACCAGCACTCACCTCCCCCCATGCAATCCTCGTCCTCGTGGCAATCACAACCAATCATCCAGTCCTCGCAATCTCATCATCATACAACCTCCAAGTATCATCAGCATCAACAGCAACAACAGCCTGAGCATCATCAAGTTTCATACGTTAGACAGCAAACGATAACTATCCATGACACACCCTCGCCAGCAGTCTCAGTAATTACCATCAGCGACAGTGAGGATGAGTCACCAGGGAAATGGTCAGTTCTGTTGAATTTATCCTCTACATATTATATTTTCTAAATAAAAGTCAGAACAAAGTTTTAATTCTTAGTATCTAAGCATTTTTAAGTATCTTTGTTTATTAAAAGTTATACTTTTTCATTATAGATTATATTATAGAATGAAAATCTTGTATGTTATTTTATTTTATTATTTATTTTTTATTTATTTTATTATCTTTGTTATACTGATTGATCGTAAATTATTGAAGTCAATTATTTTAGAGTAATAGTAAAGTACTTTTAAATAATCCAATAATGCACACACGAATAATATAAAAATATTATTCAATAAACTTTGAAAACATTTTATAATATTGCTATGAATATTTTATTAAATTATTACAATTGGAAATCGAACATGTACAATATTTAACGAAAATAAATATAAGGATAAAATTTGAAATTTTTCAGATTTTCGTTTATAAATGTAATATTAAAGAAGTATACTGTGATTTTATATAATAAATTCACCATATAATTTCTATTTTTTATGCCTACATCACCGTCTACTTGGTAATTAAGTTAATAAAATAAAATATTATCTTAAATTAATGGCAAAAGATTTAGCGAATTCAGATTTATTTATCTTTTTTTTTTTTTAATAAATATTTGCCATGCGTCTAGTTTGGCTTTGCTTTTTTTATAAACATTTTATTAAAAAGCACTCTGAGAATCACGATAAGATTTTTCGAAATGAGTAATTCACATAATTCATTTCACATATTTAAACTTTTCAATACTTTGGTGCATTTAATAAGACTTAGACTTAAAATAAAAGGTTGACCATAATATTTTCCTCGTGCAATGACATTACAGTTTGTATTATATTGATGTCTATTTTAATTTTTGCTTATGATGGTTGAATATAACAATCGTATATTGCATCTTTCTGACTATTGTCTAACAGTATTGTCACAGCAAAACAATTAAATACTTTGTACAAATCTTTGGAAAATTAAAACAGGAAAATGATTGAAATAGTTTTTTTTTATTTTTATTTTTGATAACATAATTGCCTGTTGTCAAAAATTAGAGATAGTAAAGTATCTCAAGGATATTAACGATTCATAATAGAACCACATAAAAATTATAGAATTTTTATGAAGAACGCGAATTTTTCTAAGCTGAAATGTGAATTTATAGTCATTATTACTTCAAGTTGGATTAATCAGTAGAATTCATGATTTATGAAAATTAAATCCATCGTAGTTACATAAAATTTTAAAAATTGTGAATTATTAACTAAATGTACCACGCTGTATATTGTTCTTGATAAAACTCGCGTTATTTGTTGATATATGTTATTTGAGAGAAGGAATCCAATCTCAAAATTGTAGTATTAATTATTTTTCTTTGCGTTCATGGTGACAGTACTCAATCAGCAACACGTGTGGTGCACAATCACAGTCAGCAACAAATACAACAAACGCAATCAACGAATGGCCACTCGAGTAGTTCACACAGCAGTTCATTGCAACGGTCTCAGCGCAAAAACGTAATCAACTGCGTCACTGTAGGTGACAGCGACGGAGAGACCAGCCCAACCAGTAGATCCCATCCAACTCACCTATACCAGCAAATACCACAACACCAACAGCATCAACAAACGACGCATCATATCAAGCACGAACCGCAGCCACAACACCATATTAAGTAAGTTAGCTTTCCTTTTCCTTCGCCTTTTATCCAATAGACACATTGTCGCAATTTTCCTTCCACACAATACATATAACGTATACGAGATAAAATTATTACTTCAAAACAAAAAAAAGGTAAGCAATAGCTCGAGTCGAACATCCTACTACCGTACGTCATTTAAAATACTTTCATTATCATACAATTATTTCAAAATTTACAAAATCGTCTTGCTTTAATTAATCAATTCAAAAGTTGTTCAATTAATCTTCATCGGCTAATCTCACAATTCAATATTTTACACTTTATCATTTGATAAGCAACTAAACAATGGACGGGAGCAGTCACGTGCTCTCACAGTAGGAGTAATAATACTTTACAGTAATTTTTCCCGTAATTTTTTCAAATGGCAATTTCTTTTTATTCGTGACTAGTTCTGGCTATTCCTCACAATCGCAAAAGAAGCGTCTATTGGCAAAAGTACAGTCGGAGTGCAATATGATAAATGTACCAACTAAACCAGAGCCTGGCGTTGAGTATTTGGCACCTCATCCCTGTCATGCTGCTGCCTGCAAAGAACCACCTACATATCAGGTACGCTTATACTTCATAGAGCCGTTTAAAAATATAAAACCTACTAATCACTCGACATTTTTAAGAAAAGAAAGCCTAAAGAAATATTTTCCATATTCTTCTTTTAGCCACGTGAAATGATTAAAAGCTCATATTTATAAGGTATATTTGGACGTGTTTGTTTTTTTACAACAAATATTGAAAGCATTTTGAAAGTAATCTTCGGATAGCTCGAAAGTTTCTTATATTCTTAAAAATGTGTTGGTAATTTCGTCTGGTCGATATTTTTCTAGGATGACGGCTATGATATGCATGACTACTTCTTGCAGTATGTAACAACGAGCAGTGCACAACCACATTTACTGGAACAACACATCGTTTATACTACCGGGGCCGATAAGCGTGTGTCGTGGCCTAGTAAACGAACAGAATATAAGCACGACTATGTACAGCCACCAGCAGCACACTCGAGAGATCACCAAAAATGGGCCGTAGCCAATCCAGTGCATCAATACAGGTAAAAATTATATTCAAAAGTAATTTACGTCCACTTTAATACAAAATAATACATAATACAAGTGATTTAAATCGATGCATTATTCATAAGATTTTTTTTTATTTTCTTTGATATTTTTAGAATACATTAAATATATTGCCATTATATTTACCAATAGATATTTTAATTTTAATTTTAATTTTATATCACTTAATAATTAATTGTATCAATATCTGTATGGTTATATGAGTTACAGGGAGTCTCTATTTTACTACAGTTGTTCTCATTTTAACATATTCTCATGTTATAATTTGCACAATCAATTTTTTGTTAAGAATTTTTTTCAAAAATTGCTCTATCAATAATTTTTAAATAATAATTCATTATTCTACACTATAGATTATTATTGCAAATAAAAATTGTATTCAAACACGATCTTGCAGTATTTTTTTAAATTCAAAGTTTCATGATAGACGATGTGCGCCCACGTATGTATTGAATTATTGGAAATATATTAAATATAAGCTTTCAAAGAAAATAAAAGGAAAAACTTTATGATTAAGGTATCTATTAAAAACACTTAATATAGTGTTCGGTATTAAAAGTGCACGTAAGTTACTAAAATGTATAGTATATATTCATCATATCATACTACGCTTTGGAAATTGACAATCATTGATTAGTTGAAGATTGTTTCTTGTTTTTTTTTTACTAAAAAACAACATGATTAAATTATTAAAAAATGATCAATGTTAAATATATCTTTTCTTAATACTTTTGTCTCGTTAATATATTATTAATTTTAATGCAATTTATAATTGAAACAATATATACATAAAAGAAATATAATAAAAACATGATTGTTACATTAAAATCACAATATTTTTTATCGATTCTATTTTATATTTCCATTATTAATATATTAATATTAATTAATATTAATTATATAATAATATTAATTAATGATACATTTATTGTTGAGAAAAATAAAATAATTATGTAAAATTATGAATAGTATGTAGTAATGGTTAGTTATAAAAGGTAGTGTTTTAGCTTCCGCGTTATAAGCCTTCATTCATAACCCTCTTACTTTTACTTATTCATATTTTACTTTGCCTGATTCATTTTTGTGTTCTTTAATATTTGTTTAGCCATTTATCTCTGCATCTTATTCCGGTTGATAACAACACGCGACTAAAGACAGCTGATTTTTTTATTCTTATACATTATCCATTTTATATATTAATTTATTGTTTATTTTAATTTTCTTATAAGTGTTTTTATTATAGCGTTTTTTTATTTTTATTTTTGTTTCACCATGGCCTATCTCTCCCTCTCGTTGTTTATTATAAATTTGTTTTCTCGACATCGAGGAACGAATTAATTAATTAATTATGAGTTACTATTTTAAAAATATATTTGTAGGTGTATTTGAGATAATTTGACCACTGCGAAAATTTTTGTTTGTCTTTATTAAAATGATACTTATGACTTTCTTTTGTCATTTAGAATTCAATCATTGAGCAGTAATTGATATAAATACACATGTGAAAACTAACAGTTTATATTAGAATAAATTCACGTATACTTCTAATGCAATTACGATTTCTTCCTCTCAAATATTTACGTTCCATAATTTTTCTGTAAAAAGTATTTGAATACCCATTAAGCGCTCGATATAAATAAAACGTTAAGGAAACGGATTCTTGATACAGTTAATCAATAATGTTTAACCAATTTTTTTAATATTTCAATTGAATTAGATGAAAATAATATTTTTAGATTAAAAAATTCATTTTTATACACATTTCAAGCGTTTAGAATTAACCTTTCAATATATTAATGTTCATTTTAATATCGATTAAAAATGAAATATTTCCTAATAACTAATAATTATTGATACTCAAATATATAATAAATAATGCTTACATATATAATAACAATAAGCTTATTTATATATAACAGTTATTTATAAAATTGATAATTAACTTCTACATAAATCAAAATTATAAAAAATAATATATTTATATGTGGGGTAATTTTTATTTTTATAGATGATTATTGCAAAATACTAATTTTAAATTACTTAAACGAAAAAAGAATTTTTATGCTTTAAAATCGACGAGAAAAAAAGCTCATAATATTGTAAAAAACAAGATTAGATATCATTTTCTTAAAAGTTCTTTGAACGTATGTTTGATATTAAATTGATTTTAATGTCAAAATTTATTAATCGTGACAAAATATATCACTCACTTTTAATAAAATTACAAATGACATCGTCTGCCGAGATTGTACAATGAATTATCGTTCAATTTCTACATTAGTTTGTACGTTATTGTCCTTTAGAGCTGAATCTGGTAACAATAGTACTGATTATAAGGTTAAAGCCTATTATGCTCGAGTACTGATAAAGGTAGTAAGGCGAATTTCACAGAGACAGCATAATTTGTAGAACATATAATGGTAAGAGTGAAGGTTGGTTGTAGTTGAGCTTGAGAACTCCCGCAGCTGCGTGTCATACTATAAAATCGTTAAAATGGTTGGTGGGGTGGTTGATGGTTTCAGGCAAAGCCAGGTAGTGAGCACCGCGGGAGTACATCCGAGCCACGGCGTCGGTGGCCACACACATGTAAGCCATGCACACCACAGTCACCATTTGAGTCCCGTAGGCTCCGGGGTTGTGGGTTCAGCTGGCTCCGTCGCTGTTGCTAGCAACAGCGTTGGTAGCACCGGAGTGGGAGTCGGAGCAGGAGCTGGCGGAACTGGAGGTCCTGGCGTCGTCGGGGCAGGAGGTCGCAGTCCGACTGCAGCCGGGCCTATAATCGCCGGAGCCCAACATCTCGGGCAGCCTCTCTACCAGGAATATGCACACGCAGTACGCCCGAGGGCCCACCCGGTACCGCCACCCGTCTACGTCACAGCCGCCCCAAGCCAAGCGCCTAATGGCATACAACAGCAACAAGTGCCCACCTACCAGGGATTCACACCCGGGTGGGTACCTAGACATCTAGTTGATGCATGCACGTGTGTACCACTTTTATTATCTATTTTATTCTTAATTAGATTTAACATTATTTACTATCATTTTTGTTTTTCCTCGTATAAATTTAGGGAGCCTACACTCGTTATTTATATATATATATATATATATATATATATATATACATGACCGATCATTGTAATCAAACTTATATATTTAATTTATTTTATTTTTTATCATTGAGAATCCAGTCATTTTTTTCTTTCTTTCTTTCTTTACCCATCCACAATTCAAATTGTAAGTTTTAAATTGTAATTTAATTTCTTCTTCGTAAGTATTCAGTAGGACGTTCTTAAATATCGGCATATACAATTTTTAATACTGATTTATTGTAATACATGAATATATAGCTGGTAGTTTTGGGAGTTTAAAATCTTGTACTTGAAATTTATTATACTTTATTAAAGGTGATTAAGCTATTATCGCACAATATCTTTATTATCTGTTTTATAATTCGTACAGATTTAAAATACAAAACTGTCGAAGTAAAATAAATATAAAGATTAGTTTTTTAACATCGTATATAAACAGATGAATAATATTAATTATATTTTATAATTATTTATAAAACTTAACGTTTACATAAACAGTCATCTACGCCATTCAGAATATATAGTTATAACATTGCAGATTTTCGAATCGTTCGAATGTATAAAATGAATGATATGAATGATATAAAAAAACATATCACTGGAATCTTAGCATTTCAAAATATATCAAATCTTTTGCATTTGCGTATTTAAATATTAATTTAACTTTTTTTTTATTCGAAAATTAATATTTCAGTTCTAAAATTATTAAAATAATAATAATGAATTAGAATTTTATAATATGTAATAAATGTTGTGTTTGATAATAGAATTTATTAAGCTTACAATATTCAAAATGTGCAGTGGGCCATTGTTTCTAAATTGAAATTCTAAATAAATTAAATGATCATGAATTTACGATTAATAGTTCAATAGTTTTTCTATTTCTCGCATTATTTATAATTTTTAATTAATTTTAATACTTTTTCTCTAATTTTATACATCTGTATTAAAATATTTTATTATTTCTATTAAATTAGAATTTTAAAGATTTTAATTTTATTTATTTAACTTAACTTTATTGTGGTATACGGTTTATATAGTGTAGTTTAAATAATGTAATGATATAGTTAAATTTGAAAGATGTTCACGTATAGTTTATGTCTTGATTACACAATGTAATATTTGGTAGTGCATTGCTCTCTTTCAACCTTTTATTTGACATCATTCTTCAGCTTCATTTCATTTCATTTTACTTAATAGCAATACAATGTATTATTACCAATAGTACTGATCTTATTCAATCTAGATTGTTACCAATAAAGATACAAGTATTATTTAAGTATTTTAATAAGAGGCCTGTCAAGAAATTAACTTGTCTTTAGCTATTGCTTAATAAATTAAAATATTATCAACAATTGACATTTATTCATTAAAATTAACGTTGATAATTTTTTTTATCAAAATGTACAAGAACACAGATGGTTGCATATTTAATTGAAAAAATGTTTATCATTTTTTAACCACATCAAACAATGAATGTATATTAAATTTTTTGACAACTTGATAAATAATCGTCAATTTTCCTTTTTAAATTAGCTAAGTCTCCTAGTAATATAGCCCAAAGTATTTTATTTTCCAGGCAAACCTCTTATTCTTACATAAAAAATAATTTGTTTAATTTATATATCCATTATTAATTGTTATTGTATCTGCAGGTCTAAAATAAAACGTACTTTTGTCAGATAATTTACCTAACTGTTTTGTAAAGTTATTAATCAGTTTATTAATATATTATACATACTTTTGAAATATTTTTACGCTTATAAAAATGATGTGATAAACTATTTATTGTATATACATAAAAGTGTATTAGTTTCAAAAGGACATTCTAAAATTTACGAGGCAATTGCAAAATAACGAAAATCTAACGAATAATTTTGTATAATCGAATGTACGAATTATGAACAATGGTTCGTATCGACGCTAAGCCTCAAACCAATCGTAATTCATCGTTTCGCGCTTATTCAATGAACCTTAATAACACGAGTGCAACAAACAAAAAAATTAATTCTCAAATTAGTCACTATACTACCCAGGAGGCACCGATCTTTTTGTCCGCGTCTTAAAAGTAAAAAATATTTCCGAATCTTTTAATCAGCGCCGTCTCAGACCATCGGACCATGCGTGAAAACCAACGTCGCGCTGCATCAATAAAGCATTAATTATATTTCGACAGAGCAGCTGGGAGCCAAGACACAAAATTCACTGATACATCTAACGCACAACAATGTTTTAACTGTTTTCAGCTCGTCCCCATTAACGTTGTATGATTCTAGTCGAGCGCTTCCGCCACCGGCCCATCACAGCTCCGCGAGGCCGTTGCTCGCCTCCCATGCGGCACATCCGCTGCCGGCTCACATGCAACCCACTGCGGTTTATGGCCTCGCGCCCTTATCACCAGCTAAGCATCAATACCAGTCCGGGCTCTGGTTCACCGAGTAAAATAATTTGTCTTGCGATCTCCCAACAGGGCGCCTCTTCCCCCAAGCCTCCAATTGCGGTTGACCAATTTGTCAGCACATTTCTAGATTTAGTAAAATTGACCTTTCTTTCCTCATCCCTATTTTATTCACTCGTTCATTCGCTCTCTCGCTCGTCCTCACTTCATTATTATTTTTCTTAGCTCCCCTCCCCCATCCACCCTTCTGCCCCCATCACACACGCCCCCCCTCTCTCTCTCTCTCCCCCACCCCCTCTCTTCACACATGTATACGCATGTACATGCACGTATCTGACTCTCTGTTTATGTGTATTTCGAACTTGGAAGCTGTACGATTACTCTTTTGCTAACGAATAACAAAACGAAATTGAACTTTATAAAAATAAAAATAAAAAATGACGCTCACAACTTACTTATAATGAATATTTATTTTCAAATCTAATCGTCCTATTTTTATTTATATGAAGTTTAATTAGCTGCAATTGAGTCCTTAAAAGCCAATCGCGAAATAAATATTACCATTTCTTTTCCTCACATCGTTAATTACTCAAATATCTTGCTTACAAAATATTTTTTAACAATTTATGAAGATTTTTTATTCTATAAACTGTCTTCTATCTCGGCTCTTTTACCTAGGTCTTGTGTGATTTTTTTAAAAAGTTGAAATATTAGCAATGATGAATAATGAATCTGGAGCGCGAAGCACCGCGGAAGAAGCTTTCACATTATTTATATTGTAGTCGAAATGCCGTCGGACTAAAACATTTGACCAAATATTAACATAATACATACAACAATTAAAATAAATAAAGACTTTTAAAAATATAAGATGAAAACCGACGACGACTTCTACAAAATTATGTATTGATAATCCGTCCTAAAGGAAAAGCCGGAAAGGATCTTTTTTGACTCCTACTCACTGCCCAACCAAACTGTATCTACATTTTTTACATTTTTCAAGTATATAATATGCATAAATCTTAAATTATTTTATCTCCGTTTAAGTGAAATTTAACACTCTAATAAGTCCAAGTTTTTCCATTGTGCTTCGCATTGCTTCTCCAAGATAATAATTAATTGTAGTACGACTGCTAAATATAAAACTAGATTATATAAAACAAAACAAAAAAATTAATAAAAATAAACAAAAGTTATCTGTACGAAGAGAATATAAATGTTAAAAAATCGAAAATGTAAAGATTGATAAATATTATATACATTTGTTTTCTCGTAAGGATTACGATCACGGAAAAATGAAATATTTTTAACAAAAAAAAAAAACAAAAAAAAAACAAAAAAAAGCAGCGATTTTCCACATAATAAAAAAGTTTATTTGGAAGCTCGTTGTTGTAAAGATTTGAGCAGTTGATCGAAATTCCATCATAAGAAATCAAAGAATACTCTGATGATAATCGTGTTTTGCCGATCGAGAAGAATTTGATCAAATCATTACCGATCGAAATACCTACTGCTAAAATTGTCATTGACTGTACGAAATATATAACGTACCGATGAATATGCGAGTCTGCATTTTTAATGATATGCTTTATGCGTATCATGCTTATAAACATGCGTGTATCTGGCGCGTGTGTATGTGTATGCATCTATGCGCGTGTACACTTATTTTAGAGTTCTTATCTTTATATGATTTTAAGTTTCAAAGAAAGAAGAGTAGCGTTATAAGTGTATTATTTTATATACGTAGAAGAAATTTTGAATAGCTAATAAATTTCTGGGGTAGTTTATAAATGAAAGTACCCCCGTAGTAAACTTTTTAAGGTTCCCTTCTTCGTGACTAATATAAACATAAATTTATAGAAGGCACTGATGATGTCTTCCTACCTAATATTTATTTATAAATTATACAGTCCTTTTTAAAGATCATACTGGTATGATTTAGTTAGGATTCTTGTTATTCTTATCTTGTCGACTTGATTTTGTAATTTACTTTTCTTCTTTTTAAGTTGTCACCATCGAAATTTAAATAGGTATACGATTCGTAAGATTGTCATTCAAATTGTTTTTCACGTAATATTTCACATACAGAGATGTTGTACATCAGAGAGATATAGAACGAAACAAACTATTTATTTCTCCTACTCTCATCATTCATTGTAAACTATTATTCATTTAATGTGTATTATATCTATCTACGATTGATTGTCGCTACGTTTGCGACTTTTGGTGTATGATAATTCATCTTGCTATTATTTTTTGTAATTAATTTTTGTTGTTATTATACCGTTGTTTCGTAGCTTGTAAATAGGGAAGCAATGAGAGGCATAATATGTCACTCTTGAAACTTGTTGATTTCGAGGGCTGATGTTTTTCTTCGACTATTTCAAACTTTCATCGCATTAAATCTTGTACCAATTGGTATATCATTTTCCTTGTCATTTTTCTTTTTCTCTACTTGTACTTTAAATAAGCCTAGTTTAGCATACACTTATTTATGTGCGTAATTTATAAATGTATTGTGTCGTGAGTAAATTTGAAAAATATGTTCAAAAAGATTCAAATCAAATCAAATGCTTTACACGTCGTAGTATTGATTTCTCTTTCTAGGATGGCTTCGTCCTATTTTTATTCATTTAGGATAGCATTGCATTACGTAGGGAACAAAACATTAAATAGGGTAAAAATATTATAGTTTACAAGACTAAAAAGAATTTATCTAATATTTTATGTAGTGAATAAGTGGTATTCTGTTATAGATGTTGTACATAACGTTTCTAGCGTCGTCATATTCTCTCGGATGTTGCTCGCTTTTTACTAAGAAACGCATGCAGTAACAGTCCCATGTTCTTCTCTATCATTGTTGATCATTAATAACGTATGTTGACGACGAATATCCGAATTCTAAAGAATTTTCAATTACTGTAGATAAAAGAAATAATTTCTCGCGATTGCTTCAGCCAATCTAAATATAAACAATAAACTTTTTTATAGATAAAAATACGAATACACTATCATACACAAATGTTTATGAATGTAATTGCAATTTCTAAATGGAAAAATTTTATTTTTGTATGATGTTTTTCTTGCTTCTCAATGAATTCGAATCATGTTTGAATTTTTATTATTTTGTGTTTCATAATAATGAACCATTGGACACGCAAATTGTACTTATAACATAAGTACTTTTACTTCATTTCATTTCATTATTGAAAAAGGAACTCAATGGACAGATGATTTACATTTTTTTTTCATAACGCAAAAGAACACGCTACTGATATTAATGTGCATGAATTTTTCTAATGCATGTATTCTTATTTTTTTTGGAAATTCGGTTCTACAATTTTTATATACATAAATAGTTCTAATTAAGATTAACAAATATTTACATGATGTCACATTGTGATAAAAGTACACAAATAAATTAATTATTAAATAGGGATTGACATGTTTATAGTGATATGCGTCCAGAGCATTAATGATATGGTGATAATTACATTATATGTACAGTGTCATTATAAGACTTGCAAAGTTTCAGAAATACGTTATTTAGACCATAAGCATTAAGGAATCCTTTACTTGATAATAAGCAATTAATAATAATGCCTCATAATACTAGGAACATACATAATTAGGATCGATAATAACAAGACGTATGCATTTCCTGTAAAATAAGTTTATTTTAAATTCTCACGATATTTTTTAATTCAATGAAATTCAATTTTCAAAAATAACAAAAGTAAATTAAAAAATAACTAAAAATATATGTTTAGTGATAAAATTGTTCATTGTATTCAATTGGCCAAAATTAAAAAATTAAGTTAATTAAAATATATGAAAAATTACTATCACTAGAAATATGTATCATAAAAAATGTTTCCCACGCGAATGCTACGATCAATTTAATAAAATAAAAAAGTACTTGTACCAATGTGTATGAATGCATTATTACGCTGCTGTCCGATATCTATCTAACCACATTGATGTGCCTGTTTAATAGTTAATAATTATATTATACCTGTACGGGTAATATCAAATGGGAAATTAAAGGAAGATACTAAATCTATAGCAAAATCTTATTAATATGAGTATACGATTAATTTGATGATAGTATTAAAAATATATATATAACTACTCTAAATTATTTAATAATTTTGCACAATTGTAAATGTTCATGTACACTTTTTTTTTTTTTTTTTATCACATAACTTTCTTTTCTATACGTACGAATTTATTGTACTATAATAAAATCGACGAAAGATAGCTCAAATGTTATCTTATGTACTGTTAGTCATATCGTTGAATTCCACGTATAATACCTTGTATTTGCGGGCGTCTGTGCATGCGTGCGTGCGTGCGTGCGTGCGTGCGTGCGTGCGTGCGGGCGTGTGTGTGTGTGTGTGTATTTGAACATTCGACTATATATGCATTTGTTTTATGTATGTATATAATAGCAGTCATATTTCAGTACTCACTTCAGTAATTTATATTGATAATGTACTAATTGGTATATGACATAGTCGGGTTAATTTGAATTTTAATTTGGAGCTCATATTTTTATTTATACAATTAGAATAATAATTTGGAATATATGAAAAAATATTTTTTAACTTTTTATTAAACATTTTAATTACTGTTCACAATTATAAATGAATAAATTTTTATTGGTTATAAAAGAAATTAATTATAAAAAAAAAATCGCTGCAATCATGATGTTGATCTGTTGTGATTTTTTACAAAAAGAAATAAAATAGTTGATTAAAATTCAGAAGTTATAATAATTTAGTAAATGTATGAAATATACACAAAGAAAAAAAGCAACCTTTTAATAACTTAAGCTACATAAACAAATGAAAAATGAAAATTTAAATGATGATAATGACATAATATTTTATAAAATCTAAATAAATTTTGATAATTTTTTATCATTGAATCTATGAAATTTGCAAATAATGTCTTCTTATTAATTATATTAAAATAATTATTACATTAAATAATTATTATATTAAAAGACAAACAACAAAAATTTAATTTACAATAAATTTGGGTAAGAGAATAAATGTGCGCGTTCATGTGACTATAGCGCTATTGTGTGTAGAGAAAGAAAGCACTGATAAATAGCGAAATACGTCATTTTTAATGAAACGTGAATATACTTGTAGATTCATAAAACATTATTAAATATATTCTTAATG